AGTGGTTACCTCACTGGACTCCCACATGGCCAACCATGCATCAAGTCCAGGACCTGGGTGTGTGTGTGCGTGCATGCCCAAGATCCCGGGAGGAGAAAGGAGGAGAAGGGATTACAGCTTAGCCATCCATCTGTGGGGTGATTTCTTGCTTCCTGTCTCTCTGGTGAGCACCTAGAGCAAAAAAACCCCAAAAACCTCTTAAAAAATTTTAATTAGGGAACCAGCCGTTAGCGTAATGGCTATGTCGCTGGACTCCCACGTAGTAGACTGCGGTTCGCGTCCCAAACCCTGTGGCTTAAAACTCATGCCGGGCATGTGTGCGTGCGTGCCCAAGATCCCGAGAGGAGAATGGAGGAGAAGGGATTGCGGCATGACCATCCCCCCTGGAGGGTGATTTCTCACTTTCGGTTTCTATGTCTCTCTCTGTCTGTCTGGCAATGGGAAACCCCACACCCCCTTTAGGAAAAAAAAAAAAAAAACCCCCCAAAAAAAAAAAAAAAAAGAAATTTAATTAAAAGCTTAAAAAATTAAAAACTTTTATGAGGCAAACTAAAATAAATAAAATAATTTTTAAAAATTTTATGCTGTAAATCATCATTAAAAAGTGAAAAGAGGGGCTGGCTGGTGGCATGGTGGTTAAGGGCGCTGACTCCCCTATGGCTGACCATGGTTCAAGTCCCAGACCTGCTAGCTTACTTTCCCTCTCTCTGTCTCTTAATAATAATAATAATAATAAAAGTTAAATAAAAATAATATTTTTTAAAAAGTGAAAAGTTGGGGCCAGCAGATGGCATAGAGGGTTACATCACTGGACTCCTACATGGTCAACCATGGTTCAAGTCCTTGACCTGGTGGCTTGAAGGGGCTGGCAGGTGGCGTGGTGGATGGAGGTGCTGGACTCCCACATGGCTGACTGCAGTTTGAGTCTCAGACCTGGTGGCTTGCTTTCTCACTTTCCCTCTTTCTCTGGTTAAATTTAACAATAGTAATAATAATGTTAAATAAGAATCATGTTAAATAAAATTTCCAGAAAAAAATAAACTCATGCTGGGCGTGTGTGCCCAAGGTGCTGGGAGATTGTGATGTGGCCATTGCCCCCGGGGGCTGATATCTCACTTTCCCTCTGTCTCGGTCTGTCTCTGATGACCACGCACATGACCTAAGGCAAAAACCTCTTAAAAAAAAAAAAAAAAGTAAAAAGAGAACATACAGAATGGGAGAAAATATTGCAAATTATCTGATAAGAAGTTTGTATGCAAAAGTATTTAAAGAACTCATACAATTCAACGGAGGAAAAGCAAATAAAAATGATGCAGCTCAAACCCAAGTTAAAAAAAAAGAACAAAGAGTCAAACAGGCAACTTTCTAGAGATACACAAATGGTCAACGCACATGAAGGAACACTCAACATCCAAGCACGAAGAGGTACCATGTCATACCTCTAGGACTACGACCAAATGACAACCCCGAGTGTTAGCAAGAATGTGGAGAAGCAGGAATCCTCATACATTGTGAGTGGGTTTGTACAGTGGTGTGACCCCTTTGGAAAACCATCTGAAGGTGTCTCAAAATGTTACTCATAGAGCTACGTTAAGATCCAGAAATCCTGCTGTTAGGTACGCCCCCAAGAGAAGTGAGAGCATAGTCAAATAAAAATGTGTGCAATATGTGTAACCGCATTATTCAGGACAAAGGTCAGAAGCAACTGAATGTCCTTTGACCGCTGAATGGGTAGACGAGGTGTGGTGTATCTACAGAATGCAGTAGTTGGCAATAGAGAGGAATGTAATACTGAGGGACCAGCAGGTGGCACAACGGTTATGTCGCTGGACTCCCATGTAGTCGACAGCAGTTGGAGTCCTGGACCTGGGACTCAAAACTCAAGCTGGGCGCGTGCATGCCCAAGACCCCAAGGGGAGAATGGAAGAGAAGGGATTATAGTGGGGCCATTTCCTCCGTGTGTGTGTGTGTGTGTGTGTCTGTGATTTCTTCCTTTTTGTCTCTCTGGCGACCACATGCACCCGATAGCAAAAAATCTCTTAAAACTTTCTAAAAAGTATTTAAGAAGGAATGTAATACATGCTTCAACATGGATTAATCTTTTTAAAATTTAATTTTAAATTTTCCTATAGGACAAGAAAGAGCGAGCAAGCGAGAGAGAGAGAGAAAGAGCGAGCGAGCAAGCCAGGTCTGAGACTCAAATCTCACTTGGCCTTGTCTGAACCCAGTGCCTTAACCACTCTGCCACCTGCTGGTCTCAATGTGGATTGTTTTTTTTTTTTCCTTAAGAATAATTTATCTAATTTCACTTATTATTATTTTAAGTTTGACCAGAGAGAGAAAGAGAGAAAGCAAGCTGCCAGGTCCAGGACTCAAACTGTGGTCAACTATGTGGGAGTCTAGCACCTTATCCACCGCGCCACTTGCCAGCCCCAGACGTGGATTGTTCTTAACATTACGCTAAGCAAAAGAAGCCAGTCATAGAAGACCACATATTTTAAAATTCCATTTACATGAATGTCCAGAAGTTTACTTTTTAAAAAGACCTTTTTACCTTTTTCTTTCTTCCTTTTTATTTTAAAGAATTGTTTAATTTTATTCATTGTTATTATTACTTTTGATGAGAAAGAGGGAGAGAGAAGAAAGCAAGTCGCCAGGTCCAGGACCCCGAAGCCAGTCATGTGGGAGTCCAGCGCCCTAACCACCTGCAAGCCCCGCGCGTTTCTCTGGTAAGACCCTGCCTAGCGCGGCAGTGTTTCTCGGGGACGCCCTCACACCCCCCTGCCCGACCCCCTGCACCCACGCACCGGCCGGCCAAGGCTCACCATGGGCAGGACCGAGGCCCGCAGCGAGGCGATGGTGACGGGTTGGGGCTTCTGATCCCGCGTCGCGGGGGACAGAATCTCCACGCGATTCACCTCCTCTTTGGCTTTCTCCCCCAAGCAAATCTGAGAAGGGAGGAGAGAGGGGGCACTTCCTCACGGCAGGGAGAGGGGACCCCACCCCGCGCCCCTGTGCCGGCCGGGCGCGCACCGTGCTGAGCAGCAGCCTGCAGCCCTCCTTCCCCTCCTGTGCCGGCTCGAAGGTCCGCGAGCGCGAGTCCTGATTCAGC